TTATATCATGTATAATATCATGTAATTATGTATTATTATGAATTTATATCATTAAATCTATATCATTTTATTATTCATTTATCTCTTTGTTTTATTCTTATTTCATATTCTACAATTTAAATCTTCTTCATTTAATTCATTGATTTATAAAATATCATTAAACATCATCAATGTATTTTAATAATGTGAAGAATAACAATAATCATATTAATTAAACAATAATTTATTTATTTTTAATAAAAGAAATAATGATAAATAATGATATTAGAAGTTTAATTTCATTTTATTAATTGTGTTATGTTTCTGATATTGTATCTTCAATTCACAAATTAATTAAATTATATGATAAACATGAAAATTATAATTAAAAGAAAAGAAGATAAAAACAATATCAATAATAAAATTAAAATAACAAACACATCATTTAATTAATATCTCTATCATTCATAAATCAATTAATATTTCTATCAAATATAATTAAAATAAATTTATTATATTATAATTTATACTTATGTATTCAATCTTGTTATTTAGTATCTTTTTATTCTTCTATTTTTCATTTTGTTTATTATATAGTTATTTTGAATGAATGTATTCTATTTTAATTTATTTATTGTTCATTTCTTTATTTGTAATTAAATAAAATGATAAAATATGTTAATAAAATTAAATTGTTTAATAGAATTAAATCAAATATATTAATTCTATTTCTTTTATGTTTGTTTTTATTCTTTATTTTCAATTCTTTCTAACATTCTTACTACTTCTTCTATTCTTATTCTTTCTTTTGCTTCTTGTTTCCATGTTTTTTCAATAATTTCTTTAATATCTTCTTTAACTTCTTGTATTATTGGTGGTCGTTTACCTGACGTGATTGCATCTGCAATGTCCCATGGAAAATTATATATTTCTTTAGGAAATGGATTTTGCCATGTAATAATCTCTAACATTGTTATTGAATATGAATATATATCTGATTCCATTTTATAATGTTCTCGTTTCAATACTTCTGGTGACATGTAAATAGGTGATCCTATCCCTTTTGTGAATGTCATATTTGTCATCATCATATTAATGTTTCTTGATGCTCCAAAATCTGTTAATTTTACATTAACTCCAATATTATCATCCAGTGTTACAACAAGAAAATTAT